TGGCTTACAAACTTTTGTATGAAAAATGCAAATATACAAAAATTGAGAACAATCATCAATTACCCCTAATGTTTGTAAAAAGATGTAACCATAGACTGGACCATCCTTATAATAAGGCAGCCTGAGGTGTTTGCCTCAGGCGGCATCTCATTGGGTCACATGAGGGGGGGCAAATGTGCCTGCCACCCCCTTTCCTGCCAGAGCATCCCAGGTTGTTAAGAGCCATTAGCAACCTGGGATACTCTGACCGCCATCCTGCCAAGCTTGTGGCAACCAGTGACATCACTGGGGCTCTCACAGCCAGTGTTGCATGCTGGGAAAGGGCATATATACTTGAGGGAATTGCCATGTGCTCAGTCTGGCTCCAGCCATGGATTAGTTTGGGTTCAGGTGCTGTCCACCTGTCCCCAGGCTAGGCCTGGAGGGTACGAACCCTTGAGTGTGGGAAGTGTTTTACTAGGCTTCAAGCCTGGAGGAGGCCTTTGCTATTGTTGGAGGAGGAGAAACAGGGAAGGTGATGGCTACTGGAGGTGCCTGGAATAGAGAGGACCTCAGGAGCAAGACTGGTGTCTCTCCTACTGAAGATTCTGTGCCAATCCCCACATCTTTAAATGCCTGACTCTAGTAGCAGTTGAAGTACAGTTATTGTTCTTGCATTTCCTACTGAAGAGTAGTAAATATACAATGTATAATACACAAGTGCTCAGCACAATAAACATTGTTTCATATCTCAGAACATTCTGCAAACCTTGCCTTGAATGAGGATTAGATATCAATTTGAGTGAGTCCAATATAATGACTTGAGAGTATAGAACAAGATCTTTTACTGACATCTAATCTGTATCTGCTTCTGTGAAAATGTTCTGTGATCCTGTAAGTACTAGATATCATTTTAAAAAATGTGCTAGCTAGGTTAATGGTGTTCAACAAATCTTCAATGATGGAAGAGTCTGTTAGGTTATTGGAAAATTATGCCAATTTATCAACATCGCTCATAAGAAGCAATTACGAATTTATCTTGTAGCGGAAGCTACTATAAAACTTCATAAAGGGTTTGTTTAGTTAATTTCCTTGCTGAAATTTGTTAACAATTTTGATTTAAGAATGTTTTTTTTCATGTAGCCCTTTTTACAGAGTTGTATCACTACATAAGTGCTGAGCCTAGGAAAGTGGGTCTGTATAATAATGTCAGCACTCAATCAAGGCCTCATAAACAAACCTTTATGATCCACTCTGAACTCTATGCTGGCATAACAAAGGAGTATTACAGAGAAGAGGAGGGGATGTGTCAGACCAGTTCTGTTTTTCAGTGCATTAGGTCTCACTGTCATATTTAGACCATGCACAACATTTGTATTAGGAAAGTGGAAGTAAGACTATGAAAATGGAGGTTGTTAAATCTACCATTGAAAGTGCTTTGTTATATCTGATAAAGGACAAAAAAATAACATTTGATCTTATTAAAAATTCAGAGTTGTCCTATGTTCTGTGCACACTTCCTATGATATCTCAATGAGCCTAAATAGCTCTCCCAGGTCTAGTTTTGTGATTACAGATCAATAAATCCTTATACTACAGAGATGAGAAGGAGTGTGATTTAGCAGTTTAGCAAAAAGAAAAACAACTGAACAGGGCTGACACCACCTAGTCCACAAATCATCCCACAACAGGAATTAGGAGCAGAGTGCATTTCTGGCAGATTAATCCCTTATTTCTCTGTAGCTTCAGGGTGTTTAAATAGATCAAACATATGGGTATATGTGCATGGATGGCAGAAAATTATGGCATATGGCCCCATGAATGTTTTTTTTTCGTCAGGTTTGTGATCTTTCAGCCATTCATCTATGCAATAATCTCCAAGACCTGTCAGGCAGTGTCTTCTTTGCATTAAGATACAAAAAATATCCCTCTCGACTCCTTAATGCTGGTCCACTGCTAAGCAATACAGTGCTCACTGGACATCTCCTGGAGGATTGTGTTTGGGGTCACAGTATGGTAAACAATGGGTGTTACTCCCTGAACAATATTAAGAAGTAAAGCTGGCATAAGCAGCTAGACATTTAAGTGAGACAGAAATGCATACAAAAATAGAGAGAAAAATAATGAGACAAACGCAGGGAAATACATGTGTAGGGATCCACAAGCAAAAACAAAGTATGGGTATGCAGGCAAACATAATGAAACAAGAACAACGTTGAAAAAAAAGTAAAGGATAAAAGTGCAGAGAAATAAGGTGACGCAATTCCCATATAAGTCTATGAGACTGCAAATCCTGCTTGAAGCAGCTCAAATGCAGGTCAGAAGAGGGTCAAATGGAGGTCAATCGCACCTGAGCTCAGAAGCGTCTTAAAGGGAGCATTAGAACACTAAAACAGAACTATGGGGCAGCCTTTTTATGCCCTCCCGTGACCCAAAACTCAGTATGTAGCGGGCTGCTGAGAGCGCATGGTCGCCCCATTGCCATGATGGATCCTGACAATACTGTTGAGATCCACTCCGCTGGCTGAGTGACAGCTGGATCTGCCTCCAGTCAGCGCTGGAGAAACGGAGAGGGGGGGGGGAATCCCTGCGGGGAGCAGTGACTGACATTCACTACTCTCTGCAGGGAGAGGATTGTGAAGTCAGCGTGTCGGTGGTGTGTTCACTGATTTTCCGATCTATAGAGCAGACCTGTGACAGCTTCTTTGTCACAGATCGGCTTAAATTATGGGTATGAGTGTTTTTTACTTACTCCATAATTCTCCTTTAAAGTTGATACTTGGTCCACCCCTCCCACACCTTCTGATCAATGCCAGAACACATGGAATTAGCCAGAAAAATGCCAACTATAATTCAGCCAGACTGACTACAGCTCTGGCAATCACTAAATTTCTAGCAGCCACTCCACTAAGGGTGGTAGGGGTTACACATATAAGGAGGTGCGAAAGCGGGAACAGGCAGGGGTCAAGTGCTATCCTCAACTTAAAAGCTAACATTTGCATACTAGATATTTTTAGAGGCTCCTGGTTAATTCTAGATGAGCACAGATACCACATTCAGGCACCTTCTGTGGCTGATTATAAGGAGGTAATATATCCAAGGATAATTGTAGTTGTATTGTTGCCTGTAGTGTCCAGCGTGTTGTGATGAATATCTTAGCACCTAAAACTATATGTTCATATTTGACCTCTCCTGGTTTCTGTCCCAAATGTCATTCTGAACTAATGATGTAGTTAAAAATAAGAGGCACACAGTGCTGCTCGCATCACTGTCAAATAAACTTGATACAACAGAAGACTAGAAAAGTTAAACTAGAGACCTGTAGCTAGAGATCATACATAGCCATGTTCCTGCAAATGCCATCTCATACTGAGAGCCAGGCAGAAAATGTGTTATAGAAGTAAGAGTTTGCTCATGTCAAGTGGGGTGGATCAATACAGTGAGTAGACACTTCAAGTGCAGTTATTGGTGCATTAAGTGAGCTGGACAATGGTTGTGCTGTGTATTAGGGCCTTTTCTGTGTTATTCTTCTTAAACTTTAAGGTTGATGTCAGAGGGGCGACTAGCGAGGGAGTGATTCCATAGAGACTGGCAGAAAGTATTTTAGTGATGCTAATGCTGGTAATTTGTCTTCAGCATCCAGATGGCCCATGTGACATGGTGTTTACTGTTTGGAATTGTTCTGTTCATACTGCTACAGAACAATTCCAAACAGTACACCCAGAACAATTACCCGCCCCACCGACCCCCACCCCACACACACACACACACACACACACACACACACACAAACACTTTTGCTCTTCTGTCAGTGACTGACACTTAGTAATTCTACAATGTATACCAGGCTGACACATATCTAACCCCTAGAAACAGGAAAGGGCTGACTTATAACGCGTTTGCCCAACATATAGCTGGCTTAACAATATAGACAGCGCATTACTGTTACTAGATGGAGCTGAGGAGCATAGGATTTTCCTACGTTCCTCAGCTCTATTAAGTGGCAGTAATGTTATAATTCAGCGCTAAGGTGCTTTTGTCGAAGAAGGGGTTACTGTGGTTTTTAAATGACATTGGTATTTTATAAGGTTACCTCTTTACCATCGTTTTTCTTTAAGCCTCTCTATAAAGTGTCTGCTGGTGAAAATAAATAAATAAAAGACAGACAGAAATGGCAAATTGGATTTTATTTAAAACTAATATACATTATTCAATTTTGTTGCATCATAAAATGACAAATTTCATGTGACATTCCCAAGCCTTTAGGGGAAATGAAAGTTAAAAAAATTAGAGTTCACATACAACTGATTTCACACATTAGAAGAAATTGTGGTAGATCAAAGCACATAAAGATTAAAGTGCAAATAAGCAAGTCAAGGAGTGGTTGCTAAAAATACATGAATGAACAATGAGAGGCCTTGTGTCTAAAGAAACGGCCTGGATAAGCAAGTGATCAACAGGAAAGTAGGCAAAGGGTGGAGGGTGAAAATGAACATATAGTTTAATGTCCTAAGATATTCATCATTTACTGAATGCAACATCAACAACACTTCTCAAAAATTCTACATACCATATACAAAAAAATATTACATAATGCAACCAAATTGAAAAGGGTTTTAGCACTTCAAACAGATGGAATGTACTAAACATGCTGCTAAAGGAGCAATAGTAATGTTGCTAAAGGCCAACTACAGCCTTTTTTCATTTTAGTTTTACATAGTGTGGGTAAAGGTTGGAACCTCTGTCAGATTATGGCAGTCTACCCATATGGAGAAATGCTTCCTACCTGCGTGGTTACCATTGCAGATAGTTGGGGAAGGATTCCAATAGAGACATAGATGTTTTTTTCTTTTTCCCTCCAAGTAGAGGGTTTTATAATTAAAAGGTTAATGTGGAACTGAAGTTAAACATTTTTAGTGGTTATATATGATAAGAAATTCTGTCTGTAAGTAAGTCACATTACAAACTGATTACAAACTGATTGTGCAATATCTATCTACCAACAACTTCAAAGGGAGGAAGGGCCTGCTTGATTGCATGCAAACAGAATTGATTCTTCCTTTATGTCATCATAACATCTAGGAAATCTAAAAAAAAGATTAGAGATGAGATTATATAGTCAGATTGCAATATGTATGACCAGTATAAAATGTAACCTGCATGGCCAGTTTTAGATCAGCATATACCAAAAAAACATTTCCTTAAGGTTATTGATTTTCCAAATTCAGCTTCTCTTTAAAAAAGAAGTAAAGTCCAACTGTTTTTTTTTGGCTTTACTTCTCTTTTGGGTCACAGGAGTATATTCACTGATATACTCCTGTGACCCAGAGCCAGCAGGTAGCGGGCTACTGCCCACAATATGCTGACAGAGCAGCCGGGAAGGATCACATCAATATTGTCCAGATCCACCCCCAGTGCCTACGTGATAGCTGGAACTAGAGCTTCCATAGTACAACCATTTGTCTAACATGAAAACACAGCAAGGAAATCCACTGTGTTCCTTCATAACGCCAGTTCATAACATGTCAATAGTCTGGAAAGATCATTTAAAGAAGAAATCCAGGCAAATAAATTCTTAACCCTTGCAGTGGGGCTACCCCCACTGTGTGTTTTGTCTAGTGAGCTAAAATAACAGAATTATACTCACCCAAACCGAGATCCAGGCTTGCTCTTAGAACGGTCCGTTGAGCCTGTTTCCTCCGCTCCAGTGGTCTAAGGTCCTGTGAGTAATTACATAAGGATAACCCAAAACACTCCATCGCTGAAGCAGAGCAGGAGACTGGCTGGAGGGACTGGTCTAGGAACCAGCAAGGATGATGGGTCAGGTGAGTATAACTCACAGTTACTCACAGTTATTTTAGCATCCTAGACACTTTACCGTTTGCAGTGTGGAGGGGAGCCCCACTGCATGGGTTAAGATTTTATTTTCCCGGAGTTCTTCTTTAATGCTTTGCAACTTTTTCTGAATAAGACTGATGTAAAAAATGATCCACTAAACTAACATGCTAGTAAGTATAATCATGCTATCAGTACAACAGACTTTATCCTGGAAGGTGACAAACCAAGACTAATGGGCAAAAAGACATCTACCCATAACTGATCACATTGCCATGCCAACAGAACTCCACTGAGAGCTGATTGTAATGCAGTATTTACTTTGAAGTACCTATTATTAGGCACTGGTTGTAAACATGCCACCACTACTAAAGCCAAAGTTCTGCACTGGGGCATGGACACAGAATATCTGCAGAATGTGGCTGGGTTAGTAAAACAGGCATCAGGCCGAAACTTGGGTTTGCGTAGTCACATAGCCAGCTAAAGGACACACACACATATCTAGATAATCTCCAGCAGTCTTTCTGTAACTGAGCAGTATCTTTTAATATGGCAGCTCTCTTTTTTTAACATGACATCAGTAAAAGTATATATTGGATAGTGTAGCAGATCTGTAAAAGCAAACCTACACCCGTCTCCAGCCTTTATTAACAGCAATATGCGTGCACAAACTCATTGCGAAAATGCATGATAACTGCCTTTCCATTATGATTCATGTTAATGCAATTAAATATCCTTGTTTCACAAGGAAAGGGCAATGGATATTGAAATATTTTTCAGAAGCAGACTGCTGCTATCACCAGTGTAGATTTCATTTCCTTTAATATTTTATAAATATTTTATGATACAATCGGAGGAATGATGTACTGTTTTATGTTAACCGTAGTGCTTACAAACAAGCAACTTGCAGACTTGCCGACTGGAGCACTTACTGTGGTTCAGGAACTTTTTCAGGTACACAGTGGAACATCCTGCACCCGTCATGCCCTTGTGATTTGGAAGCGTCCGTCCCCCACATCATCGACTTTACTAGCAAGCCTACAATACATAAACATTTCATTTTATTACTACAACAATCCTTTGTGATATAATACTTTAATTAAATTCATATATCTGCTCTCAACCCATGTTTTCTAACTTTAGCTAATGACATCGAAGCTGTTTGCATCCGTGCTGAATACCTTTACATGGTCATAAAATAAACATGTTTCTCAGCAATGCTTTGCAACATTATTTTGATCGCTAATGAAAACACTCAACTCTGCGTCGGCTTCCTGGAGTCCCGTCGGCGATCCGGTGATGTCACGGACATCGCTGTCACTGGACTCTTCCCCCCTTCCCCAAGTAGCTCCGTCGGCTAACGAACGGAAGGGGGAAGGACTCCAGTGACGTCGATGTCCGTGACGGCTAACGAAGGGAAGGGGGGAGGAGTCTGCCCAAGAAACTTTCTGCACGAGCGCCAGCCAAGGCATTGGCCTATACACATACAGCACAGCAATGAAGTAATAAAATGAACTAGGATCACACTAATCCAGCACGTTA